TTTTAAGCCTTGAGCTGCTACACCAAGAAAAGTGGTGATTCATAAGTGCCACCTGCTTTGTAGGAAAAAGTTGAGCTAAAACTCAACTGTAAAAAGACTTACAGCCTTGGAAACCCTATGGAGAAGTTCTACTATATCTTATAAGGTCACGGTGGCAGTATATAGTCTCCTGTCTACTTGAACAAAGGGGTGGAATCTAGCCTGTCAATCATGTCATAGCCAACAAGACCTCTGTGTGTGCATGACCTTCTTAAGAGGATTCTAGGAACTCCTATATTCCTCCCTAGCTGCATGACACATACTCTCCCTTTGAGATATTCCTGTGGACAAGCCACACGGAGCTATGCTGAAGGAACCAGAGCCCTGGAGCAGGAGAAGCCAGCTGAAGACCCACGCCAGCACTGAGATGCTTCCACCATCACTGAATCCTCATGAGTTTCCACCCAATGGCCTGTAATCTTCTGCCTTTGGTATCATTGCATGTGTTGCATGAATCTCAAGAGGAGTTCATAGACTTGTATTGGACATATGGGCTAATATAGGACTTATTGACTTGATCTGGAATGGGCTGGGATGTTTTCTTAATATACTATTGCTCTGGGATATAAAACCCTCTCTTACATATATATAACTGTCTCTGTATGTGTTTCTCTAGTCTACCAAAACTAAGAACACGTTATGGTACCTTGGGAGTGGGATACTAGAGAAACAATTCATGAAGATTTAGAGTGGATGCCTCATGGTAGTTTTCTTCTTTGGCTAGCCAGAGGTCAGATACGGCCATATCAGATATGGCCAGGCAGTTTACTGGGTGGTTTTCTGGAAAGAATGTGGGAAGTAAAAGTTTTAATTCTTTTCTTTGGTTGTTGTCTTTGGTTATTCCTGTTTGAAATGGCAAGAATTAATGTGATTAATGTATATTTTTAGCTCAAGGGGCGAAATTGCCCCCTTTAACTTCTCTGAGACCATGCCTCTTAGTGAAAACGGCTAACAGAAGGTCACAATGGTTGACAGAAGGCCATTGCTTGATGCCTAAGACCACATTTTGTATCAATGGAATAGTTTAGATAAGGTTTAAAATAAGATAGATAAGGATGGAATTTGACTGTTTTAAGAATTGAGTTTAGGATATGGCTGTACTAGCTTTATACGGTTTTGTTTTGACTATTTTTATTGATAAATGGGTATAGGGCACACCTGCAAAGAAGGCTCGAAAAGTTAAGCTCCACCCAGTGCCTTGTGTGCTAAGGACATTTGAAGGTGAAGAGGCTTGAACAATCTTGCTGTTGACAGATTGAAGGGGGAAAAAAGTAACCTTTGACTTTTAAAAAAATTTTGAACTAGTGGTTTGTGTCAGAAGCTGGGAAAAATTTGGAATCACGAAGAAACCCTCTTCTCTAGGACTGAATATTAACAGGAGCCTGCAGACAGCCAGAAATGCTTGCTAGGTGACCAGCTGGATCCACTTGTCAAGTGGACGTGGGAGAAATACAGCAATCAAGAGACAGGCTGATTCTTGCAACTGACACCTGTGGACCTGCTTCACAGGGACTAGAGGGGAAGACAAAAACAGGTTGACAGGTCTGAAGTTCATGACTTAGCACAAGGGGGTTAGGGTTGTTGAGAATTTGTGACGCTGCCCATGGTCTAAAAGCAAGGCGACCAAAGGGAGCCCTGGTGAGGCAATCATATTGAGTTGACCTGAACATGAACAGGTGGAGATAAGATATTTGACCCTGTGAACTGCATATTGCTGCTGGCTTTATGGACAGCCTGTCCAGATTTGACTTTGCTTATGGATGCATACTCACAAGGTTGCAACTGGAATGAAGATTCTTCACATCAAAGAATATGATTGTCTCCTCAGAGAACTGGGTTGATGTAAGTGGGCAGTTTAAAAATTGGATGCCCCAAATTGGGAGGATAAAGACATGAAGCAGCTGGCTTACAAACTTTCATAGGTGCTGGAATATATTCATAGGATTACAGGATTAAGGTGTAGGTGCTACTTAACTGCAATTGTTAGGCATAGGCTATTGTGGTGTTCACTTATCAAATATTATGTTTAAACAAGGCTGGTACATATTGAATTGTATGCATCTTAATGTTATCCTGTTAGGTACAGTTATGATTTTATTATTTTTTTGTTTAAAAATTACTGTATATACTTGTGTATAAGCTATGCTTTTCAGCACATTTTTATGCAGTTTTGTGGTAAAATTAGGTGTCTCGGCTGATATTCAAGTCAGCTTATCCTCAAGTGTATATGGTATATGGCTAAAGAGTTGTGTAAAAGTGTCAAGTTGGCAAGGGGTGGTCTGTGGAAGTTATGTAACTTGAGCTGAGGGGTGGAGTCTAGCCTGTCAATCAGGATATAGTCAAGGAGGCCTCTGAGTGGACATGGCATTCTCCAAAGAATTCCAGAACTCCTGTCTTCCTCCCTTGAGGCAGGACACACATCCTCTATGCTTCCCCTTTCTGTTGACAAGCCACATAAAAACACGCTGATGCCAGCCAAAGCCCTGGAGATGCTTCCACTGCCACTGGATCCACGAGACTTTCCACCCACAGGTCTGTGATCTTCCTGCATTCAGCATTACTGCATGTTTTGTGTGAGTCTCAAGAGGAATTTATAGACTGGTATCAGACATATGGGCTAACTTCGGACTTATGGACTTGATCTGGACTGGGGCGGGATGTTTTCTTAATATATAATCACTTCTTGATATAAAACTCTCTCTTACACACATATTAGTTTCTCTGGATTTGTTTCTCTGGTCAACCCAGGCTAACAGGCGCTATGGGCCAGAATTGTCTCCATGACAGTGTTTTGATGGGTTGTTTTATTGTTTTTGGTTTTGGGCTTTTAGCAATAGGAACATTGAAGAAAATAGCAACTACATGCAAAATATGAGCCAAAAGTGTTAATAATTTTCAGCAAGTGGTTCACCTTGTTTATATATAGTAGTTTTAAAAGGTTTAAGGTATTTTTATATTAATTTTAATTTTCCATTGTTTTAGAATATACTATTACCCATGGGTTTCATAACTGTTAATTGACAAGTTATTTTGAATGACTCTGAATTTATTCCTGCTAATCGGAGACAGCTGAGTTATATGAAAATATTAGCATCAGGATTAGTGGAAGGATTACTAACAATATGCAATATATAGATGACACAACCTTACTTGCTGAAATGAGGAGGGCTTAAAGTACTTCCTGATAAACATCAAGGACTGCAGCCTTCAGTATGGATTATAATTCAATGTAAATAAAACCAAAATCTTCATGACTGGCCAATAGGTAATGTTATAATATGTGGAGAAAAGATTAAAGTTGTCAAGGGTTTCACCTTGCTTGGATCTACAGTCAATGCTCACTGAAGCAGCAGTCAAGAGATAAGCAATGTATTGCATTTAGTAAATCGGCTGTACAAAACCTCTTTAAAGTGTTGAAAAGCAAGGACGTAACTTTGAGGACTAAGGTGCACCTGACCCAAGCTATGGTGTTGTCAATCAATTCATAGGCACGTGAAAGTTGGAAACTGAATAAGAAAGACCAAAGAAAAATTCATGCATTTGAATTATGGTGCTAGAGGAGGATATTGAAAATTCAATGGACTGCCAAAGAGCAAACAAATTTATGTTGGAAGGAGAGCCAGAATGTTCCTTAGAGGCAAGGATGGCTAGGCTTCATCTCACATCCTTTGGGCATGTTGTCAAGGAAACAAGTTCCTGGAAAAGGACACCGTGCTTCGTAAAGTAGAGGGGCAACAAAAGAGATCAAGCCCCTCAAAAAGATGGATTGAAGTTGTGGCTGTAACAGTGGGCTCAACCATAAGAACAATTCTGAGGGTAGCTCAAGACCAGCCAGCGTTTCACTCTGTTGAACACAGGTGCACTGTGAGTTGGAACCAACTCGACGGCACCTAACAACAGGTATGTGATTCAGCATGCACAGATGTGTAATAAATATGGCAGAGTTGACCAATTACCAAGGTGCTTATTCTATTCACCTATATACTATCCAGAGACAAATATGCTTTGGTGTAAATTATTTAATTAGGCCTCCTCCTTTGAATACATATGTAGTCAGAATGTATTTAACTTTCAAATTTGATCAACAATTATTCATCGAACACATTCAGCTTACAAGACACGATTCTAGCACACTAAAGAAACATTAAGTGGGTGGAAATGAAAAGGGAGAAGAGTTAATACACTATATAGGATCAATGTGGAACAGGCGAAGGCAAAACTAAGATATATGGCTCCATAGTACTAAAAATCTCCCTACCATAGAGTCCATTGTGGCTCTTAGAGACCATAGAGGGCAGAGTTGAGCTGCCCCCATGAATTTCCAAGATAGTAACTGTTTAAGAGAGCAGAGAGGCTCATCTGCCTCCCTCAGAGCTCTTGGTGGATTTGAACTGCTGAGCTTGTGGTTAGCAGACCAATGAGTGACCAGGGCTCCTAGAAGGGAGCCACGAGGGAGAATTCACTCCATGGTAGTGAATTCAGTAGTAGTGTTGTTGTTAGGTGCCCTGAGTCATACACACAACAGAAAGAAACACTGCCAGTCTTAAGCCATCCTCACAATTGTTCCTGTGCCTGAGCCCATGGTTGCAGCCATTGTGTCAATCCATCTCCTTGAGGGCCTTCCTCGTCACCACTCCTCTACTTTACCAAACATGATGTCCTTCTCCAGGGACTGGTCTCTCTTGACAACAGGTTCAATGTATGTAAGATGAAGTCTCACCATCCTTGCTTTACATAGAACTCTAGCCTTATTTCCTCCAAGACAAATTTGCACGTGTACTAGAGAGATAAAATTCCCAGAGGCATGAAAAGGAAATAATCACTTCATTATACACTCAACTTTTCCCCAAATTATAATTTAATTGCAAAGATATATTGCACTCTTTTGAATAAAATACTTACTTAGCATTAAACCTATCTATGATAACAGTGGGGCAAAATTATATCAGTATTTACAATGATGGAGTAGGGCCAGGCAATGTTTGTACATAGGGTCACTATGAGTTAGAATGAACTTGACAATAGCTAACAACAACATAACAGCGGAGTCCAAGGGTGGAATACATTATTACTGCACTGCTAACCCAAGGCTGAAAGTTTGAATACATCCAGAGGTACCTGGGAAGAAAGACCTAGATATCTATTTCTCACAAATCAGCCATTGAGAGTTACCATGCCTGGGGGATCAGGACCCTTATCTCTGGGGACACTAAAGTAAATTAACACAATTTATTTCATAAAGTCAAAGTTTTACATTCTACTTTGGTGAGAAGTAACTGAGATTTTTAAAGTTCCTGAATAGCCATTTAAGGTGCAATTATTGGTCTCGCCCTTTCTGGAGGAAAGAAGAGTGAGTGATGAAAATCAATAGACTTAAGAAATCAATTGGTCAGTGGACTAATGGACATGTAAGCAGCAGTCTCCACAACCCTGAGACCAGCAGAACTATATGGTGTCAGCTACCATTACTCCGAATGAGATCACATTAAAAGGTCCTGGATAAACTGGGACAAAAAGGTGAGACAAAATGGAAAAACAGAAAGGAGAACAGGCCTATTGGGCAGACAGAGAGAGAGTTGGGACTCCCAAGACTACGGCCTTTCGTCACTCTCGGGGTCTAAAATTGAACTCACCATCTGTTGAAGAATCAACCATTTAAGATAAAAAGGGCAGCATTTACCCAAGGACCAAGTTCAGAGGGTTAAAAAAAAGAAGAATCAAAACTGGAAACACAGGGAGAATAAGGCACGAGCCATCAAGGAGACAGCAATGGATGAGTTGAAACAAGATGTGTCTGAATTATTAAAGATAATGCTTGGTAAACCTTCTCCCAATTCAATAAAGAGAGTTTGTTTTGTTTGTTCTTTTAATCAGCCATTGAAAACTCTATGGAGCAAAACTGCTCTGACCTAAACTCATGGCAATTGCCAAGGGTCAAGGTCTACTCCAGAGTCACTGGTAGGCGAACAGGAGGGAGATTTCAGAGGATGAAAAGAAAAGCTGTCGGGCCGCAAGACAGGAAGCAGATTCCTGGAAGAAGAGGTCGAATACGATGTGTCATGAGTGAGGTATTATTTTAAAATTGGTAGGAAAGAGGGAGATAAGGAAAAAATAAAAGGTGTATACCTTTTCTATCACATAATTTACATTTTGAGGATTTCCTCTATTCTACCAATTCAAAATGAAAATCCCATCATGCTATTTTTAACACTAACTCCAGGAATGAATTAAAGCATGGATGTGCTTTAAGCAACATGACACCATGACTCTAAAGCCTACTGACTTCATCAGCCTTTGCCTTCTTGCAGCTGTCACACTTGAAAGCATTCCTAAAATTATTTAATATTTTCTAAGACAGATGAATTGCAAATGACATCATATTATTCACTCAGTTCTGACCAAGTAAGTTCCTAAGAGATGCTTCGCTCATTCATTGCCTTCAAATCTATTCCAACTCATCGTGACCCTATAGCTCAGGACAGAACTGCTACTGGGGTGTCCCAGGCTGTAATTCTTTTCAAAGCAGAGTTTTCTTCCACAGAGTAGCTGGTGGCTTTGAACTGCTGTCTTTGAGGTTGGCGACCCACTGCGTACCATGGCTCCAGTTAGACACTTCACATTGGATTATTTAGATGTAGACAAAATGTGGACACAAAGGAACACAATAGAGCCATGCCTAAGCAATCAACTAAATAGAACCATGTCAAAATCAGTGCTAAACTCAGAACTACTGAAGCCACTTTACAATGCCATTGTTAGATGCATGAAAGAAGAAAAGACTGCAATTTGAATGATTTCAATCGGTTAATGATCCATTGTTAAATTCACAAAAGCAATTCTGTGGGGAAAACTGTTGCAGCACTAATTCCCGTGCCTCTTCCCTAATCTGAGCAGAAGGAAAAGGAACAGAAATAAACTGCTCGATGTTCGGGGGAGGGTACTTTCATTTTGGCACCACGTCTTAGTCACACTACTGCAAGCCCACTCTTAGATACCATGCTATAGTATATATTCTAAATGTGTGCTTAGTAGAAGGTGAAAACTGTACCCATCTCCACTTTCCTCTACTCTGTGCTGAGTTAGATCTGACACAGCTTACAGAATTCCATCCATTCACGAACCTGCAAAACAACTATACTAAACAAGTGTGCATTTGCCCCAGAATTGCTCTATACAAGCATTAACTCTAGTGGCAAAATTAGAGCAGCAACTCTAGTGGTTAAAAAAATGTAAAGATAAATGAAAAAGGCAACTATTCAGAGAATACTTCATGAAGAAAATGAAGTTTAAAGTCACAGTTATAAAGATATGGCAGCTTCATTGTTATTAGTACATTTTGAAATTGCTATGTAAATATGGGTGCACATGCATGTATACCACAATACTTCTACACCAATGCAAGTTTCACAAAATATGTATCTGTTTACAACTATCAACATAATGCAATCTATTCCTTCTGTGACATTTAATCTGTTTTATTGTGAACAAAAGGCAAAGATCTTAATAATACATTTTTAACCTAAGAGAAACCATATGTCTTACCTGCATGAAAGTACCTGAAGAATTTCTGTAATAAACAGAATAATATTGTATGATCCCATTAGGCTTTGAAGGAGGTGTCCAAAAAAGAATTACTGATGAAGAGCTGAGATTTGCATAGTAGACATCGTTGGGAGGATCACTTGGTGCTGTAATACAAATAATTTAAAAATGACAAAAAGTCCTTGTGGCATCAGGGAAACTTCACATTATGAGTGTCTTAAGTTTTACCTGCCTTTGATATATCAAGGTGATGAGAACTGTTTTTTAAAATATCAAATTATAAATAACATGCAATTGGAGATTAGAAATGAAATACATAAAGCTCATGGACCATCCCTGTAACAACCAAATAGCAATACCCAGGAACAGAATAGATGGATTTCTTACTCATTAAACATTATCACAATTGTAAAGTAGTCCAAACTTGCCTGTGTTTAGAAACAATATTACACAAGTTTCCAGTTTAGAATACATAATATGAAATCTTAATTTAACTAATAATTTTGAAATTGAACAGCAAGGGCCAAAGGCAGAGAGCTAACCTTCATGCATTTCATTGCACTTAATAACCCCCTAATCTGCTTATTGCATGTCAAGTTCTGCGGCCAGTGCATCTACAAATATAAACATATTTAATAGTTGCAAGAGTTTGAAGAAGTACACGTAAATATGACATTGTTCCATAAATGAGAAATTAAGGTACAAAAAATTAGCTTTTCCAACTTTACAAAGTAAGTGAGCAAACTGAATTTTCATTCAACTGATATCAGATATTAAAATTTGGTAAAACTTAATAATATTTTATGTTGACATTTAATACTTTTTCTGAGAAATTTATTATTTCAATTTACTTATATCCATTAAAAACTCACCTCCTTCTGGTGTTCGAAAGTTAATAATATTGCTTCTTATTTTCCCATCACCAAATCTGGTGCTGGTAGTTACATAGGTATCATATACAGTATTATAATCCAAGTCTGAAAACTCTAATGATGTTTCAGTTATATTAATAGTTTTTAGTGTTGATCTGTCCCTGAGACAAAAAAAATATTACTTGCATAATTATCCTTTTTAATAATAAATTAAAAGTTAACAGACCTGTTTTCTCTCTCTCCCTCTGTCTCTCTCTCTACACACACACACACACACACACACACACACACACACACACTGCCTTACTTAGTATCATACAGTTGATTCTGAGATATCTAGAGCATAGGTACATTGAAAATAAATAACATTTATGCACAGAAAATTATTAAAACAGACTCATAGAATAAAATGGCACCTATCTGAAAATCCTGAAAATAATGAATTTCAGAACACTTCTGTAATTGAACTTCTTTGGTTCCAAGTATATTAGGTAGTTCAATGGTTAATAAGATATTAATTAGAATTTGCTTCTTAATGGATATTCAAGAGAACTATTACTCATAAATTAGCAACATTCCTTTTCATACTAATGTTTTAGTGCTATAATAGTTGCTATTTAAAGCGTTGGAAAAATATTGTTTAAATTACTAATTTATCAAGTGACCTCCTTTTTTTCCATAGAGCACAAAAATACAATTTACGTCAGATCCATCCAAATAATTAAATAACCAAATAGCCACGTCTAAAAAGTTAGCTTTTCTCATTTAATGGAGAGTACAAACAATGATTGTAAAATACAAAGTAGAAGAAACTAGTGTTTGTATCTCTCACTCAGCCTATGTCTCGAGTATTAAAGTACCCCTCTAAAGGAGGGGGCGGGTTAAGTAAAATAAATCTTTGCTCAAAACTTTCAAAGTAAGTACAAAACCTCAGTTGAAGACAAACATTATAGAGAAAAAAATGTTCAGGAAAGTTATTGGATGCTGTTAAATAGGTTTTGACTGAAAGACCCTATGTAATACAGAGAGCAGCACTGCCCAGACCTGCAAAATCCAAAATTATTATGTTTGAGCCTACTGTTGCAGCTACGGTATCAGTCCATTTCATTGAAAGGCCTCCTCTTTTTTATTGACTGTATTTCTGGGTCTCCTCTGAGAATGTTTTGAAAATGCCTGGCTTCTAAGGAGCACTCTGGCTGCACTTGCTCCAAGACAGATGTTTGTTCTTCTGGGAATACCTGGTATTTTCAATATTCTTCACGATTACTATAATTCGAATGCATAAATTCTTCCCTGATCTTCCTTACTCATGGTTCAGCGTTCATATAAGTTAGAATTCACTCGATGGCAATGAGTTTGACTTGGTTGTTCTCTTCTTGTGTATGTGAAAACTGCTATAGAGTCAGACCCTTAATGAAATGGATAGCCTCTTCTTTCTCCGGCAGTGAGGCTAGTAGCTTTGAACAGAGGCAGTGGGGGGTCCAGTGTTTACCGCACAGCAAAGGCAGGCTTCAAAGTGACTTGGACCAGTTGCACCTTAGTCTTTGTTCGTTAGTCCTGGAAGAGGTCATTTGAAGCAGATTTTCCCAGTGCAGCCTGTTGGATTTCTGGACTGCTGCTTCTTTGAGTGTTGGGTATGTGTTCAAGTAAAATGAAAGGTGACAACTTCCATCTTTTATTAATTTAAGCTGACGATTCTCTAGAGGTCAAGTTGTGAGGATCTTTGTTTTCGTTTCCTCAGCTGTAGTTCATATTGACAGCTGTGGTCTAGAACCCACACTCACAGCCATCGAGCCCATGTCGAGTCATGGCGACCCTACAGGACAGCGTGGGACTGCCACTTAGGAGTTTCCAAGAGGGACGCCATTCTATTCTTTTTCTTTAAAGCTATTATATAAATATAGTATGTTTTCAAAAGACTTTTTACTAAGGATGTGGAGGCCTGGTAGTGTCGTGGTTATGTGTTGGGCGGCTAACACATGACTACAAGGTGACTCGTCAGAAACCACCAGCCACTTCTCAGGAGAAAAGTGGGCTTTCCACTCCTATAGAGAGTTATGATCTCAGAAACTCACAAGGGCAGCTTCACCTTGTCCTATAGGGTCTCCATGAGCTGGCATTGACTCCATGGCACTAAGCTTTGAGTTTATCATTACTCATAATGACATGCTTTGGACATGTTATCAGAAGATATCACCCCCTGGAGGTGATCAACAAGATGAACTGACATGGGCTGCAACGAGGATCTCAAACATAGTAACTGCTGGGGGCCGAGTCTGGCAGGGTTTCCCTCAGTGTAGATAGGGTCACTATGAGTCCGAAACGGAGCGGATGGCATCTAACAGAATGAAGCATCCTTAAACCTAAATATGTTGTATTGCTACTTTTATACCTGTTTGTAGATCCCAGTTGTTTCATTGTTGGGTAAAAGGATTTGAGCTTTTTTAATTAATTATTTCAATGGTAATGCTCTAAAACATTATAATTTCAATTCAGGCAAATAGTGTATGAAAATGTTCATTTCCCCTAATCGCCATTATTACTAGATATTCATCATCTTAATTCCTGCAAGTCAAAT